GTTTCCAAGGTCTGACTAGATAAAGCAGACCCTGATGGGAGGTCTTGAGGGTCCCTTTCAACTTGGATTATCGTAGGATCCTCTAGATCTCTAGAAAGCTAACATTTTCGTAATCCTTCTTTACCTCATCTCCAGTACTGACGCAAAGCAGGGGTTCCTTTTTTTGTGTATAAGTGCAGATGTGCAAATGCGTACTCTGCTATGTGTTAATCGACAGAAGTGCTACCTGTTACTTCTCCAGAGTTCTTCACGGGCTCTTCAAGTCCTATCTACGCTGCTCTCTTCTAGGGAGACACCTACTTTTCCTGGTTACGTCAAAGTTCAATATAGGCATTTAGTAGTTTCATTTAATTCTCTACAGCCCACTAAGACCTAGCTGTAATGAGAATGGTGGTGACCAGCATGCAGTACTAGTCACACTAGTGTTCTCTTTAGTGAAAGATTTTGTGAAAAACACCACCTGAGCGAGAGGTTGGTTTGCTGATTTTCAGAAAGTGAGATCTGAGTCTTAAGTTCAAAATCTCTGAATGAAATGAGGGATGAATCAGCCAGTTGACCCTAGCATCCATTTCCTATAGAATATACACATAGAAACCTCAATAAATAACGAAACTTACAACACCCCCTTGCTCTATAGATCCAGGTCACTGCCAGTGTGCTAGCAAGCAGGATCACAGGTAACTTCCAGGTCGGTATTTCTTCACTTCCTTACTGCTGTTAGGACACCTGGCAATAAGAGGGTGCTCCTGGCAGTGAGAGCCAAACATCCTGTCTAAGCTGTCTGTTTTTTAACTTAGTCTCTCAACTGTATTACAATCCCCACAGCAATATAAGTATGTAAAGAAGTTACAGTGGGGTCCTGCATATTAGGGCAGTAGTTCAGCTTGTGCTTTAAGAGAACTCTCAAATCCTGAAGTAGGTTACATACCCTGGAAATGTCATCTATGGACTCTGAAATACACCACATCACATCTCTTAATCATCTTTTCAGTTTCTATAGAACACCATGACATTAAAATCCATTCATCTCATTTTGCATGTTAATATTTTGCTCGGTGCTTTACAAGGGCTCCTCAAACAGGGCTTAGCAGATACGTTTCATTTCATAGTATTGTGTTTGTGCATGGGTGGTTCTCACTAACAACACTAAAAATTGACTGTGATGTCAAACAGACCACATAAAGCTGCTTTTAAGTGAACATAACAATTGTTTCCATGTCAAATCTTGGAAGAGCGCAGTTTATTACATCAGGATTTTTTAAAAGCTCTATAATAGATAAAATGACTGTATTTTAAGTGACTGCATTACTCACAAGACAATTTTGTTTAACAGCAGGATTATACACTGAAGCAAAAGTCATGGTTAGTTATTTTTCCGGTTTGTACTTTGGAAGTGCCATCTGACATCCCAAACAACTTTAACAATACTTTATTTTGCTGGCGGCTTCCAGCTGAGCTGGAGCATTAGTGAAGAAAGCCCTGATCCTCCAGAGATTTACTTACTCTGCCTGGAGTCCCAGAATTCAATAGAACTCCTCAGAATACTTGGACACAGGCAGTTGTGTCGCTCGGGGTGGAGCAGAGGCTTTAGTTTGCAGTCCCCAGGAAAAGTCGCTTTTTCAGGACATGGAAAGGTCAGCACACGAAGAGGCTGTGACTTACCCACACTTAAGAGTGCGCTCAGGGCTGTTGCGAAAACCCGCCTGTTCTGTGACGGAGCTTTGCTGGACAGCACTCCTCAACTCACAGATTTTATGAAGATAAAAACATTAGCCTTGGGCTTATGACACAAGCAGCTGCGTTAGGCAATCAGATTTTGCCTCAGAGGTTTGAAATAACACTAAAAAACAAGTTACAGATAAGCCATTTCTGTTAATAACGTAAGTTTGCATATAGGAAATCATTGTTATGTCTTAGTTGATGATGTAGTAACATAGCAAGAGCCCAGCTTTTAGAAGCTGAGAAACGTCAACTTCAAAGCAAGGGTAAATTCTCTCTTGAGATAAAGTATTTTATCCTTGGAAAATATCTAACCTTACCTGGCAACTAGACAGAGGCTCTACCACTTAAGTTCTAGAATCAAACTATGTACTTTCTTAAAAGATGGGCTATAAAGAAGATTCTAGGAGTCTTGTGTAGCTGTTCCTGCAACAGGCTTCTTGGTCTGTTACGTAGGAGATTTGACTGTGTGATCATAGCAGTCTTTGCTAAAGAAAAAACCCAACTTAGTGGTCACATAGGTACTTCTTGAAGCATGCTGCACTTCGGGAGAGGTGAAAGTAACCCTATAAATAGAACAGTCAAATGCACAAATTGTAATTTCCACCTCCCCCCCCCCTTTTCAGTTTCAGCAGTCTTAAGCATGCTGCCAGCAGCAGCAATTTGTGTAAGCATTTCACAGACCAGCAGTTCTCTCTTTCACACTCTGTGCTTCCAAAAGGCAGTTACAAAGACACCACCTGGGAAGATAGATACACTCGATGGCAGGGTTGTTTGACTGCTGTGGCTCCTTTGGCCACTGCAGAGCAGGTGGTGATAACCTGGCAGCCAGGTTGAGCAAAGGTGGGGTATGGGGTTACCCACAACTACCTTGTGGTTGCTGTGCAGACCCCAGCACAGCCTTACACCTATTCTGTGAGGACTCTCACCCTGCTGGGGGTGGCTGGGAACAACAGAAGGACCTGGAGGCAGAAATAAAACGTCAGTGCAAAGCAGGGCGGTAGCAAAGTAGGTACTGGAAGAGACAAGCAAAGGCCTGGAGATGTCACAGCATACTTACTTCCTCCCTCAGAATACCAGTGTGCTTCTACAGAACCCAGTTAACAGGCTTAGCAAGTGAAAAACACATCCATAAAGGTTTCAGTGATTTTCTTTTTTCCCTTAATTATAACAAGAATGATTTCAAAATGCCAGTTAGGCTATGAACTGCTGCTGAAGGAGCACCGGGGGATCTCTGACACACAAAGGAACAAGTCACGCTCTGAACAATTCCTGAGAAGTTAAGCAAATATATTCAGAAAGGCTAAGATATTTAAACTACTTTTTTTTCTTGTTTTAAATTCATTTAGTAGAATTACTGTCAGATTAAATTGTGTGAAACATGTTTCTAGTGTAGTGTGAGTGAGCTGTAACGTAATAACAATGTTAGCTGCAGGAAACAGCTGACAGTTCGGTTCTTGTATGACTGCAAGCTTTTATACAGGCAGAGCACTGCCCCCACATCAGCTCTGTTACATCTGCACATTAGTGTTAGTGAGGTATCCCTCAGAACATTAACCTTTCAAAAATGACTTTTATCCCCCTGCTATTGCGTGAAAGCTGAATTTTGTGCTAATAACAGAAACCCACTGTTGAGAGTAATTTCTTATGCCAGCTCAGTCTAAGTGTCAACGTCTCTGAGTGTTAACTTGTGCCTTAAACATGCTTTCTTACAGTTCTCTTTCCGTTGGGCTCAACTCCACGATGCTAAGGGGAGTCACTTACGGTGCAAAAGGTACATTTACTTTTTTGTTGGCAAGACCTCAGCACCATAACCTGGGATTGAATTTTTCATCAGCACGGACTGAAGCAGCCAACAGAAGCTTCCTAACGCGCTCCACTTACACAACCGACACAAAATCCAGAGAGGAAAACAAAAAAACCATTGAGAGTCTCTACAGATTGTCCGTTGATGTTAAGAAAATACGCAGACTAAAGGAATGGGTCCTTCTCCAGGATGTGGCCTATGTTCAAGAAATCGCTGGGATTTTACAGGAAATGGGAGCGGATGAGGCTGCTGTAGCCAACGTTTTAGAACGCTGCCCAGAGGCAGTTCTCCGTACCCCCGCAGAGATAAACTCTCAAAGAGCTCTGTGGCAATTAGTATGCCAGAATGAAAAACAGTTGATTAAATTAATAGAGCAGTTTCCAGAGTCCTTTTTTACTACTGAGTATCAGGAGAACCAGAAGGCAAATATACTGTTTTTTCAAGAGTTGGGACTTAAGAATAACATAATCACCAGGTTCTTGACAAGTGCACCCAACATTTTCTATAATCCTGTTGAGAAAAACAAAGACATTATAGAGACATTACAAAGAAATTATTTAAGTTTAGGAGGTTCTGATGCAAATATGAAGATCTGGATACTGAAGCTGTTGAGCCAAAATCCATTTATTTTATTAAATACCTCCACTGCAATCCAGGAGAACTTGGAATTTCTCCAGAAGAATGATTTCACTGACCATGAAGTTCTACAGCTGCTGTCCAAACTTAAAGGTTTCATTTTTCAGCTCACTGCTTCTACTATGCAGGAGAGTATGCGTTTTTCCAAAAGCATCTTTAAGTGCAGCGATCAAGAATTAAAAGAGCTCGTGCTGAAATGCCCAGCCCTTCTCTACTATTCTGTTCCAGTTTTGGAAGAAAGACTTGAAGGACTTCTGAAGGAAGGAATTTCTGTAGCACAGATTAAAGAGACACCAATGGTGCTGGAGTTGACAACACAAATTGTCCAGTACCGAATTAAAAAACTCTCTGCCTTGGGATATGATATCAAGAGTGGAACTCTTGAAAGCCTGAATGGTACTAAGAAAGATTTTGAAGTCAATTATGGTAAGATACAGTCGAAGAAGGAGAGACCTATTTTTAATCCTGTTGCTCCTATACACGTTGAAGACTAATTTGAATGCTGTACTTTGAATTATGCAAAGGAAAATTATCAAGGTGAAAAAAAGATGGTGGTTCTTTGAAAAGAGCTGAAACAAAAGTAATCTTAACCAGACTGTAGTCTTACACTGTACTTTGTCCTGGAGCAGGTCTTAGGCACAACTTCGTTGTACAATCGTGGCTTTCTAATGCTTTCAAATAATATTACAGAACCTGGTTATGATAAAGGTTGCTTTTCTTTTTACCACACGGAGTACCTCACATGTTTGGGGTTACATTTCCTTATCTTAACAGGGCATTAACTGTTCTGGATTTCCAGCTCTGTTACTGCACAGTCCAACCTGTGGTAGTGATAAGCACAATCTTTTATCTGAGAAAGAGAAATGGAGGATTATTTTTCCAGCAGTGGTCATCAACAGTGGTTCACTGATGTTTGGAGACTTTTGGAGTTACATTCTGTCTTGCTGTAGCAAAGAAACTATAAGACAACCTCATCTACATTTCTGAGACTTCAAAATTTACTCCTTTTGCAAAAGGTTTGGGGCAGGAGGAAATACATTTACTGCTATTATCTAGTTCCTAATTTCTCATTTTCTAGCAAAGCTCCGGGAGAGAAAAGGTTAGCAAGGGATTCAAGTGAGTGTGACGTGATTGTAGGAGAAAGGAAAAAGTCATGCTTTTCATCAGGTGTAACAAAACTCTAGTCTGTAAACCACTGGTGATTAAAAATGACTACCAGATTTGCAAACAGCTGCCACAGTTTCTAAATATATGGGTGTCACTGCTTCTCAGATAACACCCTACAGTAATTGTTGACAAGTGCTGCCTTTCAAAATAGCAACTATCTAACAGAGTTTAAGTTCTTGGGAGATTCTGTTTATTTTCAGTTATGGCCTGTGAAGGATAAAATAAAATAGTAGCATCAGTGATGATCATCTCAATAGAATTAGGATCATCAGTGATTTTATTGCTCAGAAAGACTTTCTTAAGTGACTGTCCCATACACATTCCCATGTGCCAGCAGGAGAAAAAACAGTTACGCATCCCCCCTCACTCCAGGCCGTGCTTCAAGGACATTTCTAACAGTCGTTTTGGCAGCAAGTCCAGGGTTCCTTTTCTTAAAGAGAAGTTTTAAATTGCTGAGGAAAGCTGGTATTAAATTACTTGTTCAGAGGGTGGGCTGCAAGATGACTATTTTATATAGCCCGCCGTATTATCTGCCATGAGCTTGGAAAGGGCTAGAAACATCTGGTTATTGCAGTGCCAAGATCTCAACAGCTGAAGGTCTTAAACTCAGCACCATGCAGGCGAGTGCAGACACGACAGCAGTTTGTGGGGGTAAACACTGCCCTTGTAGCACGTGTGATAGCAGCAAGAGTTCAAGACGGGGCATGTATCACCAGCACAATAAAAGTCAAGCTGTGTTACTAAGCCACGTCTTTGCTGACTCTTTAAACCATGTTATTGGGTTTTAAGAGGAAAGTGGGCAGATAACCATATTAAAAATCCACAGGAACTTGCCTTTGTTGCTCTCTGACTGTCCTTCAGTGCTCGGCTGTTAAGCAGACCACAATGTTCCTTGAATTCAAAACCATCCTTCCCCTCAGACACGAGGGGGCATTTTTGCTCTCTGAAGCTACTCATAACACAATCTGTAATGCTGAACCACAGAATCGATTGGTGGGTTAGGATGAGAAGGAAACCAAGATGTAGAGGAGTGTTTTCCCTGAAAATTTAGTTTCAGCATTTCTGCAGGTATCTGTTTTTAAAGTTCCTGAAACAGCTTATTCCCATCACTTACAGTATTTTATTTCCAGTGGCAACAGATAAAACAGGAAAGACGTATTTCTGTCATTAAGTCACAGCCTGAGTTATCACAAACTCATCTTCTATTCAGAATGTTTCAATTTCTCCTCCTCCCCTTTTGAAACACAAGCATAAGCAGAAAGACTACTTCTCTCTACCAGCAGACTGAAGTTCATTCAGTCCTTCGTAACACTTTGCCTGGCACCTGTTTCTGTGTTCTTCCCAGGATTCATTTATAATAAAGCCTCAGGGAAGCTCCCAGTTACCAGAACACTGCATTGCTGAAACCTGCTTCCTCATCTCTTGCTGTTACGCACAGCGAAGTGAAACAGTCTGCACTGTTTAAGCCTGGCACAGAAAAGCCCAGCCTTCCATTACACAGTGAGCAGTCAGGCATACAAGTAAGTCTTCACGAACATTTCCCCTTTCGAAATGCAGGCTGGGAAAAGGAGGGTGAAATAAAACCACCACAGAAACGACCCCAAGACACAACCACCTTGCTTCCCCTGAAAATATAAGTTCCATGTTCCATGCAACTCAGTTACAATCTTAAGAGCAGGTATCCTCAAGCCTCAGTTCCCAGTGGAAAAGGGATTTTGTGTTGTGTCTGTGCACAGCCTACACAGTGAAGTTACAGTTTTTGTTAAGAGCTGGTTGGTGCTATTTAGATATGGCTCCGGGGCATGATACTGTGGGAAGATTTATACCTAAGTGTGCCGTTCTCCACACATAAACTAAGGAAGCTTTCAAGTGTCTGAAACAGCAACAATTTAATGTTTCACAAGTGTCAGGAAAGAATCAGAACAAGTTTTTAAGACAAAACAAGTTTCAGAAGTGAATGGAAAAGACGCAGGATATAGGACAAAGCTCTTTCTGAAAACTAAAACCATATGCCATGTTAAAGTGTTTCAGTTACAAGATTCAGAGGTAATAACTACAGGATATGTCAAGAACAAAACATAATGAAGTGTCTCGGCAGCTCGTTACAGATCTCACATTCCTTATCTCAGACCATACTCGTTTTGCAGCAAGTTTCATAGTATAAAAATTAGAGAATGTCATAAAAAAAGGGGAATGAGCAGTTCAACGTTTGTCTTCAGCAAACGATTAGGAAGGGTTTGGTTGAACGTCACAAATACCACCGTGCTCCAAACAGGCGATTCTAAGGGTTCACCGGTAGCACTCTGGGGATATATCTACACTAGGAACTGCAGGGCAGCAGAGCACACATTATTTGCTGCAGCCAGATTGCCTCTGATATCCAAGCTAGCTCATTTCTAGACCTAACTGGCATCCTTAAACTGCACTGTATTCTAAGTGATTAGCTTTGACTATAAAACACAGTTAGTCTTCCATTTGTTGCATTAACTTACCATACCCCTGCAGCAGGTTGGAGCTGAGCAGCTGGTGCATCTCACAAAAGGAGCAGATAAAGCCATTTATTGGGCTTTTGCTTTCCCCACCACCCCAAATCCCCACGCTTACAAATATTGTACTACCAACATATACAATTACTGATACCAAATAAAGTTGTTCTGGAGTGTAGTTGAAGTACCAATGGCTCAGAAAGGCTAGGTGACTACTCTACCATAACTTACACATAGTACACTTTCAACACCCGTGAATATAGGACTAAGCTTTAGACAAGTGATACGTTTTGATTGTTTTTTAATATCTAAAAAGTCTCCCTATATAACTTTCTTGTACAGCCTCAGCCACTGAAAAAGGAAGCTTATGTGCTTAGAAGTTCTGTGCAGGAACACAAGTTTGTAGAAAACACTGCATACACAACACTAACAGCCACCTTCTGTGGGCTTCCAAAAAGGTTACGTATTTGCAAAGTCAGTACACAAAAAGAAAGATCACCAACAGCTTCTATTTTAAGGCAATCTCAAGCTGTGTTGTTACAAGTGCATTTTGCCTCACCCTGCAGAGGACCTTCAGGTGTTCCCATTGGAGGTGTGTCAGCATTTGGAATCTGTCAGTATACAAGTTACTTGGATGATGTTTCTTTCTCTTTTTTAATTTTCTTTTAAGGCCCCATCTACCTTTTTTTGGTTTCTTTTAAATATGAGCATTGCATTTGACTCAAACATCAAAATGCAAAGTATGAGAGAAAGATGTAGTGAAAAATCCCTTGCATTTGCTTCAACAGAGCAAGAAACTTAACCTGGTGCATCACGGACTTGAGACAACAGCTTTGCCAGTTCTTCAGTGGTTTCCAACTACACAAAGGCATTTCAAGTCAGACAGTTGTGCCAGATGACCACAAACATCAGCCCAGTTTCCATTAAGCCATCATTTTTTCTGGTGTCTAGAAGTTGTTTATTAGAAGCAAGTTTTCACTTGCAGGAGATAGATAGATGCATATCATTAAATACACCTGAGATGGAGCAATCTTGTTTCAGTAAAAATGGAAAAGGTTTCAGGTATCAGGATTCATACAGAGTCTAAAGCTCATTCTGTGAACTGCACCAAAACGACCGACAGTTATTTACACAGCGTCACTTAGTAAAAAAGATATTTTTCTCTAATAAGGCATCATTAGTTTACTCTCCATGATCCCTTCCACCACGCTGTCAAACCTTCTCATTTCTGTCTCCACTCTGACTTCCAGTTTCTGCATGCCGCCAGTTATAAGTGCTCCAGTCTGCAGGGGCAGAATGCAGTCACTGGGAGTTTATAGGCTGCCTGCAAATAGTTTCATAACCCAAGCTATTCAGGTACATCCAACAATGCCATTACAGAGCTGAAGGATCCTTAGCAGGAGGATGTGGAAACCACTGAGAACAGTAAATGGCATCTCATCATATTGATGGTACAGCAGAGACTACCAAGTTTGTGTTCACATTTTAGTCCAAAACCGCAAAAGACTTACAGTAAATGAATATATGTATTATCCCTTCAGATACACTTACTCACTTCTATAGTTATCAAGTGTAACATTTCACCAGATACAAAGCTTCAATCTAGGCTCTAATCAATCTCCATACGCCGTGCTAGCCAAGCTTCTTCCGTCCTTTTCAGATGAAATCGAGTTACTTGCACAACTCTTTAGAAGATAAAGTGTCTAAGACACATGGCTTCTCATGGTCCAAATCTGAGCAGATTTTAATGCCACTGTTGTAATATTCTGCAGAATCAAATATGTCTCAGTTTTGGGTTTAGTCAGACTTATCCTTTTTCTTTCCCGATAAAGGCACTTTACTTACAACAGCAGATCCTACAGCTGTAACACCTCCAGCTACAGCAGAAACACTTCCTTTGACTAGCCCCACTCCCACTGAAGGCACAGATGTAACTGCTGTTTTGGTTATTTCCAAGCTCTTCCCTCCAATCCAAGCAACACCCCCAATCGTGGCACCAACAGCTCCTTTTGTGACACTGAAGAGGCCACCAGTCACACGAGAAAGCATGCCAGGCTGCTGCTGCGGGTGGTCTTTTATTGAACCTGAGGGAGGAAGCAACAATGAAATCAATCACAAGCTATGATTAAAACATTTAATTTTCTTCCAGAAAGGCCTTTTCTGTAATTTGGAGCAGGAAGGGAGGAGTCCATTGGCCAAATAAGCTCATTAAATGAAATTATGGAAATGTCCCAAAGCAAGGGTTTATTTTCTAATAATACATAATAATGTATGAATAATAATAAAAATAATATA